AAAGGAAAAGAGGAGCCAAGGAGCTAAGGACCAATCAGCCTCACCTCAGTTCCTGGAAAAATCATGGAGCCGATCCTGAAGTAATTCATTTCTAAGCACTTGAGGGGAGAAGAAGGGAACAGTCACCATGGATTCACCAAGGGCAAGTCATGCCTGACCAACTTGACTGCCTTCCATAAGATGACTGACTGTGAATGCAGAGAGATCAGTGGACATGACATACCTTGACTTCAGCAAGGCTTTAGATACAGTCACCGACAACGTTCTCACAAGTAAGCTAAGGAAGTATGGGTTGATTGAATGAATCGATTGTAAGGTGGATAGAAAACTGGCTGGATCATCAGGCTCAAAGTGTAGTAATCAATGGCTCAATGCCTAGTTGGCAGCCAGTATCAAGTGGAGAGCCCCGGGGTTGGTTCAGGGGCTGGTTTTGTTCAAGATCTTCATCAATGACCTGGAAGGTGGGATGGAGTGCAACCTCACCAAGTTTGCAAATGACATCGAGTTGGGTGCAGTAGTAGAAGAACTGGAGGGTAGGGTTAGGGTTCAGAGAGACCTAGACAAACTGGAGGGTTGGACCTAAAAGAAATCTCATGAAGTTCAGTAAGGGCAAGTGCAAAATCCTGCACTTAGAACAGAACAATCCCATGCACCGGGACAGACTGGGGACTGACTGGCTAAGCAGCAGCTGCAGAAAAGGACCTGGGAGTTACAGCAGACAGTAAGCTGAGTATGAGCCAATAGTGTGCCCTTGTAAAGAAGGCTAGCAGCATACTAGGCTGCATTAGTAGGATCATTGCCAGCAGATCAAGGGAAGTAATTATTTCCCTCTTTGGCACTGTTGAGGCCACATCTAGAGTACTGTGTCCAGTTTTGGGCCCTCTGCTAAGGAAAGGATGTGGACATGTTGGAGAGAGACCAGCAGAGGGCAATGAAAATGGTTAGAGGATTGGGGTGCATGAATTATGAGGAGAGGCTGAAGATATTGGGCTTATTTAGTCTGGAGAAGAGAAGAGAAGACTTGCGCGCGGGGGTGGGGAGGGGGGCGCGGAAAGTGGATTTAATAGCAGCCTTCAACTACCTGGTTCCAAAGAGGATGTAGCTAGACTGTTTTCAGTGGTAGCAGAGGACTGAACAAGGAGCAAAGGTCTCAGGTTGTAGCAAGGGAAGTTTAGGTCTGATATGAGGAACAACTTTCTGACTAGAAGAATAGTAAAGCACTGGAACAGCTACCCAGAGAGGTGGTGGAATCTCTATTAGAGGTTTTTAAGACCTGGCTAGACAAAGCCTTGGCTGGGATGATCTAATTAGGGCTGGTCCTGCTTTGAGCAGGGGGATAGACTAAATGACCTCCTGAGGTCCCTTCCAACACTTTTTCTATGATTTATGGTAGGATAAATGGTATAGGCATCTCTTTGCTTTCACTTTATGCCACCATAAAAATTGTGGTGGCACAAAGCTGAGGTCTATTTATACCTTTACTTCTGTTGTGGTTTAAAAAGATATAATTTACTAAATGCTCCCATTCTGAAGCCATAATAAAAAGATTTTTACATCATCATACTTGCTACATAGACATGAACACTTCAGTGGTGTTTGGCACCATCTGTGACTGTGAGTGATAGACTGTGTAGACTACTGGATTCTACAATCCTTCAGAGGCAGACCTGCAACTAACCTCATAATGTGTTAATATACCTGATGTGGAGGGCTGTCAGCTCAAGCTGTTATTGCTAATGCAGTTTATCAGCCAGGGAACTTTTATGCTGCAGCTTGTACAAATTATTAATTGCTTTCCTGGGCTAAACAAAGACTAACTTCATCAGTCAAAGATGAATCAAATCCTAGCTTGATGAGGCGCATGATCTTTACTGAGCCTTAGATATGCAAGATGCTGAGCCAATGGGACTGCAGGTATGTGCATATGTGTTGAAGTGCTTTCTTGGCATCAGCCCAAGGTGCCTCATATCTTGCCAGATCAAGTTCTAAATTAAAATTAATATGCTGCCTTAACGTGTTAGACAATTTACTTCTGTTTTAGCAAAAGCCATTTATATAAGACAGCTGTTCTTCTGCTACCAACCCAGGGAAAATGCAGATCTGCCCACATGCACACATGCATGCAGGTACACACGCACCCACCTTCCTATATGCAGGCACATACAGCTGAAGTGCACTTTAAAAAACAAAATCTAGTTCAATTTAATTGCCATAGTAATATCTGTCTTTTGTTTTAAAAAAGAAGTGAGACAACGAGAGAAAGTAATTCAGTGACAGAATTGCAACTTAAACATACTTAAAAGTTCATTAATTAAGTGCTCAACACAGAAACCTACTTGACCCTCCAAAATTATACATGTTCTGATGTAGAATTTAACATGTCTCCCAATTCTGAAGTTATCTGTGCAACATCTTCATGACTCATTAAGGTTAAATTATCCATCCCATCACAGCAGCCAGAATTTCTTGTGCTTATCATGAAACTAGTTGTTTTTCCATTGAAGATCACTTATTCAGCTATTTGGTTTAAATGTAAAAACATAGGGTATGGAGAGGAAAAACATGCCATTCTTGCTATTGTCATACACTATAAAATGAGTAAGTATCACGCAAAATAAGCTTCTGTCAGGATTATTCCCAAATTGTTTTTAATGGATTTTTAAAAGATTTTTTTCTCTCCCTAAAAAGTTAAGGCAAAAAAAGGAGTCTTAATAATAGCTGGTAGTTATTTGAATGCATGGTGAAAATGAGGCAATGTCACAGAATTTGTGCTGGATGGAAAAGAGCGAAGGACATGAGGAAGCTGATTGAGAGCTGCACCATCTGTAGCTATCTGAGGACCTTGTAGTTGTCCAAGGCAGCACCTATGTGGTGGTTCCTCCTGACCAAATGCCACTGTAAGGTCCCCACTAGTATTCTGGTTATCACTTGGAGGGAGTTGCCAGAAACCCAGTATATGAGTGAGATCCATGGAGGACATGTTCATTGTTTCAATGGTTGTCTCAGTCTCCTTGGGCAGTGTGTACTTGCCAACATCACCGAGGGGCCCTGAGGAAGTCTCTAAATTGATTTTGTGAGGTGAATGAGGTTCTGGTAAAGGGAGATCTTCAAGCAGGTTCACACTATAATTTTTAACATCCACTTTGCTGGGTAGATTCTTGAGGGGTACTGATGTGAATGAGGTAGAACTTGGTTCATATTTATTGGGCTGATGAAAGTTCTGGCTGGTAGGAACAGACGGTGGAGAGGGTGTGGAATGAACAGCTGACAGGGCATCTACACAGCCCATTCTTGGCATGTGAGGAGGACATTCAAGGGAATGTGTACTTTGTAGGGCTTGTTGACAGTGAGTATGTGGACTACTGTAGCCTGCTTCTGAACTGCTCAGAATCCCATGTTGTGTTGAAACCCTATCAGGAAAAGAGGGGAGTTCACTGTCTTCTTCCTTTAGTCTGAATGGGGAAAGAGGGTCAAAGAGACCCAGCAAGTCACCATTCTGCAACCTGCTCTTCAGCAGCTCTTGTGGATGGGTCTTCTTGGTGTGGCGAGTCAAATGGTCCTTGCGCCCAAACCTCTGAGCACAAAACTGGCACAAGAAGTCCTTGCAGCCTGTGTGAACAACCATGTGACGCCGCACATCTTTACGAGTGTAGAAACGGCGCTCACAGTGATCGCACTTATGTTTCTTTTCCTTGGTGCTGCTGGCTGGCTTCCCTGCATGAGTTTTGAGATGTTCCAACAATAGTTCAGTTCCTCCAAAGTCTTGGGAGCACACCCTGCAGGTAAGATCCCCATTGGTGGCTGCATGAAGAGCCTGGTGTCGCTTGTAACCCAGCTTAGTATTGTATTTCTTTCCACACTCTTCACACCTGAAGGCCATTTTGTTGGGGTCATGAGTCTGAAGGTGATTTTTCAAATGGTCTTTTCTGTGAAAGGTCTTTTCACAGTAACCACATTGGTGAGATTTCTGTGGAGAGTGGGTGGCTGAGTGCCTAAGACAGAAGGATAATAAATGTTATTAAGTTTACAGAACTTAAGTGCAGAAGTGGGATATAGCTTCAAAACCCTGCAGACATACTAGCACCCTCCATGGTAAAAGCTTTTGAAAGGCCAGATTCTGTTAAATAGCAACTAAATGTTTCTTATTGTCTGGTGTGGAATTACAAAGGAAAAACACTTTGAATAGCTACTCTGATTGCAAGTAAAGGAAGCAAGGTCTAGCAGCTAAAGCAAACAAATAGGAAAGATGGATGTTAGGGAATAATTGTCATTCATACCTCCTAACAAAAAGACATCACTTCACCTCCCCACACACACCCACCAGAAAAGATGGCTGGTGCCTCGAGGAGTTGTACCTTATTAGTTTATATTTGGAAAGGAAAGCTTTTGTGCATCCTTGATGTGTACACTTGTAGGGACGCTCCCCTGTGTGGTTGTAAGTGTGGATTGTGAGCTTTTCAACTGAATCAAATCTCTTTCCACAGAGTTGGCAGTGGAAACTGTCTGGCTGCTTCATTTCTCTTCCCTTCATCAGTGAAGACTGGCCACTTCTCCATTTCGGCACAAACCTTGCAATGGGATTGCAAATACTTCCTGAGCTGGTGCAGCTAAGCTTTGCACCAGGGGAACAGGAAATGGCCCCGTAGCACTGGACAGTGCTTTTGCCCAAGGCAGTTCCTCTCAGTTTCTCTTTGGGCTTGCTCTTGGTTTTTACAGGTCCCAACTTATTTGGTGGTCTGAAGCTGGGAGTAAGGGCTCGGTCTTTATTGATGCACTGGTGAGATTCCAACAGAGCAAAAGTCCCAAAAACGTGACTACAACTGGAGCATATCCAAGGGTCTGCAGAATCTCTCTGCAACAAAAACAACAAAAACAGTTCCTTCATATTAACCACTGTCAAGGGAAAGGTCACATTCTTCTCAACATACCTGACTTCTTTTTGGTATCCTCAAGATCTCTCAGTGCCCTTAGTGACATGTATTTAAACTGTGTCACCAGATTGCTATTCAGCTGGAAATGTAGTGGTCATAAGCCCTTGCCACACATTACACTTAAGATGTGAGAGCACCAATTAATCAGTTCTTTAACTGTGACCCCACTACACATTCAATCAATCAATTAATGGCGTGATAAAACAAGGAATATGCTTCAAAGTTATTCCATAAAAGATGTGTAATAACTTTGAGGCTCCTTCCCATCACACCATTAATTAATTGAGCATGTAGCCAGGTGCTCCCCTGTGGCTGGGAGTTCTGTCAGCTGTGGTCAGCTGGATCCCACAATCACCCCTCCTGCCATACATGTGTGGCATGGCAGAAGGGGTAGTTGCGTGGATGATGCATCAGCTCCTAGCACACCCTTACCTGAATGGCAGGGGCCTTAGCAGTCTACAAGCACAAGAGTAAATAACTGGCTTAATGCTGATGCTTATTTCATATCTTTAGTTTTGACTGCTATGCTAACTTTTCGAGCACTTCACCTTTACTTTTTCTCTACAAAATGAATTTCAGCGGGCACATCTACATGAAGCATTCACTGCACAGCTGACTAATTAACTGAGCAGTAAACATCTCAGCATCTACATGTGTGCCCCTATTAGGGTGCACAAAGCTAATGAACCCTGCATCAGGGTAGTATTTGTAAATACAAGTACTACCCTGCTGCAGAGGGTTTTTTTGTATGCAGCTTCACATGTGTAAACCAACCTGACTGGCTGGGGCATGGGGGCTGCCTGCCAGCTAGCCCCATATTGAAGGACCCTCATGCCCCAGCCAGTTAGGTCTGCTGTGGCCCAACTCAATGTGCTGCAGTCTGGATGCATGTGTAAATGGTGCACCTGGGAGCTCCTGGAAGCAATAAACTGAGGAGCAATAAGTATAGATGCGTCCAATGTCTCTATATTTGCTCCTGTTATGAAAGTGCTAGTCACAGTTCTACTGTTAGGCATGAGTCAAGCTTTATACGTAATTTTAGGAGAATGTTCTCTGATACTGAAGCTCTACAAACTCTGAGGCCAGATATATAGTTCTACCAACAGCACAGCACAGCATTGTGTCCATCTATGCCAGTGGTGCTTAACCCCCAGGCTGCAGACTGAATTTGGTGCATGGGCCTGTATCATCTGGCCCACAGGGGCTCCCCACAGGTCTGAAAATGTGGCGACAGGGAAGCAGTGACAGCGTTACTTGCTGTGGCTTCCAGAGCCGTGGATCTGGATGGCACAAATCTTTGTGCTGGATCCTGCTGGAATGCAGGATTGGTCCATGGTCAGTCAGCTATCGGGTTGTTTCATGGCTGGATCTAGCACATGGGGCTAGGTCAATACACAGGGTCGCTTTATAGCCAGAACTTGTGCATAAGGCTGGATCAGCATGCTGGGTCACACCTGCAGACCAACCCCACACTCACCCCAAGCTGGATCAAGTATACAGGTCAGTCCCACCCCACACCACCATTCATCCAGCCCACAGGGCTGGAAGGTTGAGCATCACTCTTCTATGATGACACAGGCAAAGAGAAAAATAATATTACAGTAGAAGAACCACTACACAGATGAAGCTGAAACAGCCTAGCTAGGCTTGAGGGGAGAACACAGAGCACTGGACAGTGGGTGACAGGAGAACTATAAGCACTAGAGTGCTAGGGCTTCTAAGAATAAATGTCAGCCTGTCAGTCTTTCCAAAGCCTTCCATTAACGTGGCACCACTGCATCAGATGCCACTAGGTTACAAACAGAGCATATGACTAACAATACACCTGCAAGTGGCACCTTTCCTTTGCTATTTGATTCAAATTGTTTTTTCTCAATGTTAGCCAAATAATCTATCATCCTCGTTTCAAACTGCCATTATCGTGTAAGCTGACTACAAAGCAAATGAGCAGATTTTAGAATGTAAGCCCAGTGTTGCCTTGAATATAGTTTAGGATACTTACTATTGTTGAAACTGGTGGTAAAGTATAGATATCAGATTCTTCTTTAATGACAACTGCAGAAGCTTCCATAAATTTGGCATAATCTGCTGCATACCACACTTTTAATTCTGTATGGGGTTCAATTGGCTGTAAATGAAAGAAAACTCCCAGTGTTTACATGAATCATTGCTGTTTTGATAGAAAACTATCATACCTTATTCAAAACAGATAGTATTTTGTTTATCTTTACAGATCTTTCCTTTATAGCTAATTAGATGGTTGATAGCTTAATCTCAGGATTCAGTTGTTTTGAGAATTACTACTTAACATGACTTGAAAATCAAAAGGTTGTTGTTTTTACAATTCCTAAAGACAGGAAGGAAGAAATACAAACAAAGGTCACTGAGAATAAAGCCAAGGTAAATACCAGGATTATTTCATAATATGTATAACCAATGACAGAGAAAACCAAAAAAATAAATGGAGATATATAGGAAAAGATATTATCTGGCTAAGAACTTCCTGAACGTATAAAACCAAGGAAGAGAGGTAGCTTTGGGAGTCAAGATTTTTTTTTCCTTTCCAAAATTTCACAAGTAAGCCATTATCCTACCTTATTTTTTCATATTCTATTTTTGGATGGCCCCAAGAAGGGAAAAAAAAATCTTACCTTAGGGTAAGTAAAAGGTAAGTGACAGAGATCTGGGGTTGGGGGCTGTGCACCAGAGCTTGGGGTCATGCACCAGGGCCCAGCATGCTTGAGCTGGCACCACAGTGGGCCCAATCCAGCATGTCAGCGACTGAGGCCACATGCCAGGGACTGATCTGGCACGCTGATACTGGGGCTATGTGCTGGATCCCAATCTGGTGCGCAGTTGAGGAGAGGGACTCCCTATGTGTCCAGAAATTTGCTGGCAGTGAGGGAAGGTGAGGGCAGGAGTGGTGGTAGCATTAATTGCTATGGCTCCCAGAAGCATGGCAGTTAACGCTGTTCTAGCCCCCACTGCATCCAGTTTCCAGACCCATGGGGAACTTTCATCGCCTATAATATGTACCCCAATTTTTCCTAGCTGGTTTTAGGGAAAAAGCTATGGATTATATGTGAGAAAATATGGTAGTCTGCACCCAAGAGTGTCACTGGCTACAGCTACGCTGCAACTCTATACCATACCTTTATTTTACTCTTAACTGACTTTGTTGAAGTAGATCATTGCTAATGTGGAAGAAACATTAGTATAAAAGGCAAAATGCTGCAGCTTACGATACAGCATATGAATCTTTACAATGCAGTTATTACCTAGCATCAGAGCTGGACAAATAGATACTACAATAATACCACAGTGGTCAAAGAGATTTGGGGTATGGGTGATTCTTACTCCCTCATAATTCTACAATGCCGCCACTTCCCTATTCTTTCATCCATCTTTCCTTTATCCTTCGGATTTCAGTTATTTTATTCCTTTCTGTTTGGTACTGCTGTTCTCTGCAAGTCCATTTGTAGCATCTGACAAAGTAAGTTGTTGCCTATGAAAGATCATACATTTCTGAATGAGCACTCTGCCTTGCTTTGTGCATATAATTCTGCTCGACGTTTTACTTTTAAAATATGCATTCTTGGGATTTTAGTCATATGGGCATCTTTGCACATGCTCCGAGGGGGTTTTAATTAGAGTGGTTCATTCAATAAGCTTTAATTAAAGCAACCCCACTGCCATTTTGAAGCACAGGGACACTGAAAACACAAGACGCAGAGACTGCTGGAGCACACTTATTAGCTCACTTCAGCAGATTCAATTAATTGAAGTTTTTTGCTTGCCCTCAAGCCAAATTCAACACATTTTCACAATGCAATGAGTGATATTATAATCATGTTGGTAAAACCACAGTACTCTCTCTAATGTATTCCTCACATTGGATGTTCAAAGACAAACACTATTAGTAAAGACAAACAAAAGCTTCATGGAAATTAATAAAACTGCTCATTTGCACCAATGCAGGATTTGACCTGTAGTATTTAAATTATACAGGAAAATAAAAGCTAAGTTCCTTGTCACAACAATCTTCAAAGAAAAGGACTTGTTAAGACTTTCCAAATAATTTTAACATTATGAGTAATGATAAAGGTATAGATACAAAAACATGCATATGTGACCATATAACATCACTTGTATAAAATCACAAATGCTGTTGATTTTATCAGACTTCTGGATACAGAGCTACTATAAGACATAGTGTAAAAGCATGTCATCACAATCATCTATTCTTTATATTCTAGTAATATTTAAAGCTATGTTAGGACTTTATTCAAAGCATTTTAAAACCATTAACTAACTCATCTTCACAGTGCTGCATTGCAGTATTGCTATCACTGTTCAGATGAAAAGAGAGTAAAGCAATTAAATGATTTTCCTTGTGCCACACAGAACATCTGTGGCAAAGCTGGGAATAGACATTGATAAGTTCTTAGCCTATGCTCCCATGGTCTTTCCTTTAGACTCTGTATTCTTTCAGTAATTTTTAACGTAGCTATCAATGTTGTGCAGAAATTAATGGTTGTTAATTAAAAAAGAAAAACCAAGATCCATACATTTTGTTTATTGTATTACTAGAAAATCTTCAGCTTTGTTAAAGAAAAAAGAGACTACATTGCAAGGACAGTTTCAGAGTAAAGTAAAAGCTATGGCTGACAACCTTTGGGCCAATTTCAGAGTATTCAAATCACCAACAAAACTCAAGAAGCAAGTACCTATATTATACTGTGACTTGTAATTCACAGCTTTTCTCAGGAGGAAAACAAAATCCTAAAAATATTGCATAAACTGATCATTTTTCAATAATATCACAATACTGTGTAATACTACAAGGCAAGTCTGTAGTTCCAGTAAAATCACTTTTTACTGGTAGGTAGAACAACAGGACAGTTCTTTTCAAGGAACCTTCAAAGTTGCTCAGTAATTAGCCTCTAAAAAGAGAGGAATTCTTTGGCTGTTTTCAGAAAAAAGGCTTTCTATATGCAATGCTGCCACAGCAAGTGCATCATGACTCATTAAGGGTTTAAGAACAAAAGACTTCTCATGACATTCATGTTTAAACTACAGTCACCATCTATGTTATTTGCAAATGATGGTTTTATCACTCTCTGCTCTATCATTTTCTTTCTTATCCCACTCACCAAGTTCCATGGCACTAGCTGTGGTAAGAAAGCCCAGATAGCACATACTTTAGTGTGGATTATGTGATTAGGAAAGGGTGTATGTCAGTGGTTCTCAACTGGTGCTACAGCATCCCAGAGTGCCACAAGGACCCCTCAGAGGTGCCACAACACAGGCAGGTAAAACTGCCATGCACACACCTGCTGTATTAGGGGTCTCTGATCAGCCTAAAGCAAGCAGGAGCAGGCTGCTGCTGTGACCCTCCCTGGTTCATCCCTCGAGCACCCTTTCTAGAAACAGAGGTGTGCAGGACAGTTCCACCCATGTGCCTCTTTCTAGTAGGAGCAAGGGCAGGGCAGAGGGAGGTCCAGACCAGGAAGGTATGCACAACACCAGCCAGCCCCTGCCTGTTTTAGGTTGATCAGAGTCAAAATGCAGTCAGGAGCCCTTCCTGGGCTGGCCCTTCCCCACATGCCACAGCCCTTCCTGGGCTGGTCATGCAGCAGGCATGTGGGACACTTCCACTGGGAGGCAGCATAACCCAGATGAGAAGCACTGAGTTCAGTTGAGGCAGCACTATCAGTGGCTCTGAACTGGGAATGTCACCACATTCAAAAAAGTGGTGGAGAGGTGCCCTCACCCTGAAAAGGTTGAGTACCACTGGTGTATGTAATATAGGTCAGATAAATAAATATAACTGGCCTCTCAATTGTGATAAGGCAAGTTAATTTTCTCCTGAATCTTTGCAAATTATTTGAATGCGAGTCATGTGAAGTGGTGCGGCAACAGCTACCTTAATGGTTGTGAAGTAGACTTCTCCACGGTGCTGGTAGGCTACGAGAGTCTGTTCTTCTTGGTTCCGAGCCAACCGAACAAACATCATCCAGTTTCCACAGTCTTCATTGGGAGTGTCCAGAAAGTACTTTCCTCCATCTTTCAATACCTAAAGAAAGGAGATTGGAAAGTAGGAAAAAGGATAGTTATAGCAGACCCCTAGAAAAGAACATACGAACCTTTGTATTTCTGTGGGGCTTTTTGTTTTGTTTTGGGGTTTGTTTTTTTAATCATAGAATCCACTTTTTCTTGCTAATATGCTCTGAAAAATAACAGCTGTTACAAAATAGATTATTCTTGTTGAGCTTACTAATAAAGGTTGAGAATGAGTAATTTCTAAAGCACTTAGCTACTAAAACAACTGCTGATATTTGCTTGGAATACAGAATTCCAGGTTACATTTGACAACATCTATGATATTGTTATTGTAGTATCTGTAATATAAAAAGATAGTATTTTAAGGTTTAAGCACAAACAAGTAGGCAGAAAGATGAATTTTGAACCTTAATGTGCTTCCTGAGTGCTTGATCTCTCCACTTTTAATGCCGTGTTAAAACTGTATTCTGCATGGAACAATATTGTCATTGATATGAAAAATCTGGCAAAGTCAAGTCCCACTAAAATGACATTTGAACATCCTCTTGACTGACCATGTGTTGAATTCCTAAAAGGAGGTAAGTACTAATGAATAATCTTGCCGTTCTCTTCACTTCACTTTATTCCCTCTAGATTCCTTTTAAATGGAAAAAGAGAAGGAATGTGCTGGAAAGGAGGTCTTAGATCTGCTGCCAGCATGCCACTCATCAGTGACACACACTGAAAGATGCATTACTCAGCTGAAGCTGCACATCCATGGTGAGTATGCTAACACTTCATACAGATATTCCATTCATCTGTTCCATTAACCCAGTGATTCTCAACCAGAGTGCTGCAGCACCCTGGGGTGCCTTGAGATCCTTTCCGGGGTGTCACAGGTTGCCACACAACATTAACACCATTAGGTATGCAAACATGATTCACAAGATAAACTCAGAGATTTCAAATAGAATCCATAGTGTTAAAAACATTCTGACCTGTTGTGGTCTTTCTCAGTTCTTTGGAACAGAAAAGTTGCTTTTGTTTTTCTTTAGTCACATGAGTGAAAAATAAGAGCTGGAATTATCCAAGGAGTGCCCTGAATCTAAAAAGGTTGAGAACTATTGCATTAATCATTTGAAAGCTCACAAAAAGTTATGAAGCAGTTACGTGACATTTCCTTGCCTATTAAGAAATTGTTGCCTAAGCTTGCTAAGTTTGTGATGAAAATACATATTTTTTTCTGGAGAAATCCTGTACTCAGTTACACACTCAGGATTCTAGAAGACAGAAAACAAAGTTCCTTTTGCTGTGCTGTAAGAAATTCAGATAAAAATCTGCTCCCATTCTCTGCATCTGGGGAAGTAACTCATAGATGAGTAAGAGCTATGCCTTTAGGATATACCTATATGCTAATTAAAACCATGGGAAGTACTGAGAGGAGACCATGATGGGGAATATAACTTGCTTAAAAGATAGCTAAGAGAAAGAAAATAAATGGGTTGATTCATCCATGCTGGAATACATGTTATATTTCATGTAAGTGCAGAAAGAAGGGGAGGTGGAAGAAAATTCACCCTAATGAAAAGCAGGTGCTGTTTGCAATGTCAGCTTCCCATAAGTGTCCCACTGGGAGGTTAATTCTGTGCATAACTTGTTTGAAGAGATTTCCACTAGCAACAGGTGTCAGAAGGAATGGATTGTATCAGCTAATACTGCTTGCTTCTGAGGCTGTGTTGCCTGGCTATGGGTTATCAAGCAGCAGGCAGTGGGTATCCTGTGTTAATTCATCCATTTCCTACATTATATTAGCAGTAAATGTGGTGTAATCCAGAATGAAATCAAGGTCAGTGGCACTTTCAGTTTATATGAGAGGGTGTACTTACATATTGCTAGATGGTGAAATACATCTCTATGGTCAGACTAAAATACAAAAGGGTTACTGTAATGGAAAACCCCACAGTAGTCAGCACACTGCCATGACCTTCCTCAGCCCCATCCTGTGCAATCCATAAGAGATGATGGATTGGGAGTGAGGAGTTTACAAAGGTAAAAAAAGATAACCACGTTTGTGGCAGTGCAGAGAAGAAGACAGACTGTCAGTTCTTGACTCCTGGAGAAGAGCTTACTGAAGGCAGAAACTTCTCAGGTGATGGCTGATATTGGTCTAGGCAAACCATATTTCCTTAGTCTTAAAATGGGATACTTTGAAAAGTATAATGGGGTGGGAGGTTCCCTAAACACCTCCAGTACCTCACAGCACTCTGCTCTACCCCTGGTTCAGCTGGCTCTGAGCCCTGGTCCCACCTAAGTGTGCCAGAGAAGGGATGCAGGGGTAGAGTCTACCAGGTCTATTATCATGGGCTCCATAAAAGGAAGACAGTCCGACCATGGACTACCATGGAACACCCCAAAGGGAAGAGAATCCTACCATGAGCTGGTGTTATTTTATTTGTGTTTGGTTCCTTTTGGCCACTAATAACCCCAGAAGGCATCAGCTTCTACAGGCCACGCCAAGGTCTCCTATAACTAGACCTAGACATCATGGCCCAGAGGCTGGATGACACCTGGGTTCCCTGGGTGAGGAATTCCATACAGGTATATATACAAGCTAAATATTATTTGCACCACAGTAGTGCCCAAAGGCCCCAATCAGAATCGTTGGGCATTATACAAATATGTAGAAAGATATAGTACCTTACTAAGTTGCAATCTCAATATACAAGATAAACAAGAAGCAGTATGTCAAATATATCTCTTGTGATTATATTTTTATAAGTCCCCATATTGACCGCTTTGCTATCTGTGCCATTAATGTTGATTCAGTGCATCGAGCTTCATTTGTTTGGTGAGAGAGTTGTTTTAAGTATTTTTCCCCTCCTTTAAGGTTACCAAACGTATCAACGCATAGACTTTACCAAAGCTTTACCTGTGCTCCTCTACCCCATGGGACAACTTTCTAATATTAAGCAGCCTCTTCACTCATGTATAGGTGCCTTCTATTGTGAGGTACTAGAAAAAGGCGCATTAGCCTATTTTAATGCACACTGGTGAAAGCGCACTTTTTTGTGACACTTTATTTAATGTGCATTAAAATAGGCTAATGCACATTTAAGCACATGTGTAGATGTGCTCAGTGTGTGATATTTTAATCAGGTTATGTATTGTTAAATGAAAAAACAAATGGAACAATTTGACCTGAAAGTTAAGAAACTTTGGCAGAGGTGCTCTTATCACATGTTAACATCAAAGTCTTACATCAGGAACATACACGGGAAAAAGAAAGATGCTCATGATCCTTATAAATAAGCAGAAATACGTCGAAGCTCTCTTGTAATACCCTGAAGCCCCATAAAGCAAATCCTCCAAGACCCAGCCCAACCGGAGTTGGTTACCTGCAGAACTAGCCTGCTGTCATCATAGTGGGTCAGTTTTGTAGACAGTTTGCCAACATATGGACCAAATTGTGTTCTCTTCTGTATGACTTTCTTAGCAAACACTCCCAGGACTGTGAATAAAAGTGAGACCAATCTAAGATGAATACACATATCATTAACTATTTCCTAAATATTTATAACTGAGGGAAAAGAACCAGCCAAAAAAACGACAGACAAAATGAACTCTTCTAAATGAGGAGTGACCAAGATATGACCCATATGCTGGATCCAGCCCACAGACCAGTGATATCCAGCCTGCAGGGCTCCCATGGGTCTAGAAATTTGGTGGTGCAGCAAGCAGTGGCAGCGTTAATTGCCCTGCAGGCCAGATAATACAACTCCCCACACCAGACTGGACCTGAGAATCAGCCCTGTGAAACAGACTGAGCCCATAGATTGGCCCTGTACAACAGAACTGGCTTGCAAACCAACTTCACGCCACTCATCTGGTTCATAGGGTCAAAAGAGCTGAGCACCACTGTCCTACACTACAGCTGAGCAACACATCAGGAAAATTGTTCTACTAGGTAAAAACCTTAAAATGTACAAGAACCTGGAATCCCTTTTAAAAATAGGACTTTGATTCATTGAATAATGTTTAGAAAATCACCCAAGTCACAATGGATTGCACTCTTTTCCCTTAAGAGAAAATTAAAAAGTGAGATATGTGTATGCAACCCTCAAACCTGCTGATACTTATCTGCTGATAAACAGCATTTCCCCTTGCATGTGTGACATATTGCTTTGTACAGTTTTGTCAAAAAATCCAAACCCATCCCAAAGTAAACTATTTTACAATGTCCATTATTCCTCTCCATGAATGTTGATGATAGCACAGAAGACCTTATTTTATTATTACAAAGCTATCTATAATTAGATTTACAAAACATAATGGAAATATCTACAAATTAACAATGTCCAAGTCTGGGGACTACACATTATCCTGCTGCCTGAAAGAAACCATTCTGTCTATAGTACCGATCAGAAATGCTGAAACTGTGAATTGGACAAAATCTTACAGGCTTCCTGACCTTTTTTGGAGGAGGGGGGAAAGGGGGGAAATTTAATTACTGCTTTGTTTATATGTTTCTGTTGAACACTCTCTTTGCATACCTCCACCACAGTCAATTGAAAAAACCTATCAGTAATACTGCATCGCTATTGATTTTGGATACTTCTAGTCAGATATTTATAATGACATTTGCTCAACAAAGCAAATCAGTCTCATGCTGTTAGTGTATATGGCATTCAAGTTCATGGTGGCATTCTGCCATCAATCTCTGTGTGGAAATTCATGGAGAGCCAAGCGCCCCCCCCCCATCAATAGCTGGGTTTCCGACCTTAATCATACTCATCCAAAAAGATAGGCTGTGTACAACTACCTAAAGCAAAGACCACCTCTAAGCTACAAACCAGTATTAATACTCTTGTCCCTCCTCAAGACTGTACCTATAAGAGCTAAAATACTTACTCTGTTGGTTCTCAGCTCGCAGCTCCAGCACTTGTAAAGTGAGGTAGTGAGGTAGGGTAAGGCGGGCACGGCTAGGAATAACCCTGTCTTTAACCCTGATGAGTGGTCCATGGAGTTTGCATTCTCCTATAAGGTTTTTGCCACAGTCCTCACACCCTATAAGCCAAGAAGAAAGCTCCTAATTATAAAAATATCATACTGTTTTCCATTTCACAACAAGTTGAGACTGGAAAAGAGAATGGAAGAGAATGAAAAAGAATTTCTGGCATTTATGCAGCAGATTTCATGTTGGAGGATCCCAAAATACATCCAAGACTTTAAAGGGCACCCAACCTATACACAGGGATAATTTCACCCTCAAATGAAATGCAGCCACCTCTGAAGAGGAGCAGAGCAAATATTCTTCAGTTACACAGCCACATAAATAAGACTTAAGATTTATCTCAGGCTGCAATATTTAGCAACATCTTATCACATATTTATTCCCTGTTCAACTAACAATCGTAGGTTAGCAAAGGAGAGATTGGAAGTCATGGTAGCCCACATATCCCTCAGTGTGAGCTCTTGCAAATTAAACAGTGCTGGTTGAAGTATTGTTCCTAAGCTCCAAAGACTCTAATGCTATAGTGCCCTAGCTGGTCAGAAACTGGCTCCCTATCCCCATGCCTGCCCAATCTATATTTGTGTGCAGACCCGGACATAGGCATGGGTGAACCGGGCAGCTGTCTGGGGCCCAGACAGAAAGGGGGTCTAAAAAAATTACAGTTGCAAGAAAAAGTTGTAATATTGCGCATATACGGGACTGGCAATGTTATCAATTGAAAACAAACTATTTAAAGATATCGATACCACAGATGTGATAAAGACTTTTGTAACAAAAAAAATCCTTATCTCTGGCAAAGGGGAGCCTGATACTAAAAGTTTGCCTGGGGCCACCAGGAGTCTAGGTATGCCACTACTTGTGTGGATGTACGCATACAGGAATTCTTCATCTTGCTCATTTGCTGGCTCATGAAGTTGAAGATGGGAAATATGTACACTCAGAATTCTCAAAACCTTTGTTTACATGATCTAAATAATGGCCATCAGAGGAACCACACACAAAAAGTTTTTTAAGCCAAGTTCACATTAACAATTTATACTAAATATAAATTACAGAATGCAGTTACAAAGCTTTGTAACTCCTGTCAGTAGCAAGTACTTGTGTACTACTTCAGAAAACAGCCCTTAGTTTATACCCTAAAAACATGCTCCCTAACCAGTCTCCAGAATTCAAGTGTAAACTGTTCTTAAAAAACAGGGTAATTTTATTCATTGTAAGCTACAGCATTGCTTACTGAAGCACAAAGGCCCAAATCAGTATTATTTATACCTGTGTTAATGCACAACACAAAAAGCTATTTATCATCATACTTGCCCTACTCGTACTATTATCTTTAAACCATTTCAGACTTTTCTTTTTCTTATTGTTGTTGTTTTTAAAAGATTAGGATTAGTTAAAACACTTTAGACAAATCTTGTATTTTCCCCAATACAACATGCACCTAAGCAAGGAAGCTGATTTTCTGACCAAAATGGAAGCACCTTGCATTGAGTCCTGCTCCACAATGAAGCAGCTGTTGCATTACTAGTCAAGCAGCTGAGGGAGTCGACTGACGTAATGGCTCATTGTTCTTTACTCAGAGGGGTTAATGATCATCTCTTCTTTTAATAGTTTTCATGGTCCACTAATCAAGCTAACCTTGGCAATTGTCTGTTTGCTACCTGCTCCTAATCTCTCTCTGTCTCTCTCTCTCTCTCTCCCACTGTTTTGCAGCCTTGAAGCCTCTTATGCTCTTTTCAGAATGATAGATCCGCTCACAGAGATCAGTCTTCAGCAACGCTATGGTTCCAGCTTTAATTAAGCAGGAAAGGGAGGGAGAGTCAGCTGAAGACTAGGCTTTGAACCTGCTCTGTACACCCATAACTCTGAACAATATTTTTTTCTTCATTCTTTCAAAGCGAGGTCCAGCTTATATTCCAGGACATGCTATATGAGAGAAAATACAGTGTACTTTAAAATTTTCAGCTTTAAAAATGCTAAAATGTTATCAGTGTTTACTGGTAGTCTCTGAAGGGTATAGCTAGCAACAAAATGTTCAAAATTAAGAAAGTAAGCTTTGTTTGGCTTTTCGTTCAAATTCTACAAATGCTCACTTTCTCTATACAGCATAGGTCAGCTACCAGCATTAAAACAATGCAGTAGTAAGAAAATAGTAAAAACACCACACAAGCTTTTATGATTTAGTTATTGTTTATGAATTAGTTAATTTCAAACTTAGCTTTACTGTTGGACTGAAAGGATGGCAAACTGCTTGTACTTAAAAGAATTCTCTCTACATTGATGTACAGCATTAGCTCTAAACGTTCCATAACGGGGGAGCAGAAAATTGTTTGAAGATGCTGACTTGTATAATGAAAATGAGCACCTGCATAATTAATAATTTCAGTGCATCTTAATGATGTATCAAAGAGATTTAAAGAATATTTAGGACAATAGCTTTTTATATTAGAAAATACATTATTTCTTTAATACTTAGAAAGTTGGAATTTATTAGACATCTTAGGAGGGAGGGAGAGAGTGTGTGTGTATTTATATTCAAATTTTATCTTAAATGAAAGAACCAAAATATACAAGTCCTGCAAAGCTCCTGTTGAAGTCAGAGGGAACTACATATTTATTCAGAAGCAGAATCTGGCCAACAGATAACTACAAAGCAAAATTTAGGACAAATGGCACAAAAGGCATGTTTAGTTACTTAGAAAACTTTTCTCAAGGGCTAAATACAGACACTCAAAAAGTCTGAGGCTGAATCAATTCAATCTTTGTAGGTTAGTCTAAATTGCATAGATTGAAGCGATAAGCAAGTGAACAGACATTGACTTTTGATTCCAGAAGGGCAGCAACATGCCTGCAGTGGCCCAGGCCAGAAATTGGCCCTACCCGCTGATCCCTCTGTTACTTAAGCAGCCGGGCCAGATTAGGGCCTGGCCATGTCCCCCCTCCCCCCACTTGAGCGGGGTGCGAGTGGGGAAGCCCCTACCAGGCAGACTGGGGTTGGTGTGGGCCACAGTGAGGGTTTAAATCCCACTCCTGTCATATTCATCTGGCTGAGCCAGGGCCTCCCTTTGCTCAAGCAGGGAGGAAGGAAAAGCGTCTAAGGGCTTCCCTGCCAACCCCATCAGGCAGACCCAGGCTGGAGTCCACGCAGGCCAGGGTGGGAATTTAAACCCCGCCACTCCCCTCCATCACACTCAGCTGGCCAGGCTGAGGCAGGGTTTGACCATGCCCTGCCCCTCCACTTGAGCGGGGGCAGGGAGGGGGGGAAGCCTCTGAAGGCTTCCCTCCTCCCTGCTAGACAGACCCCAGCTGGGGTCCAGTGCTAGGGTTTTCCTCCTCACCCCCTTCTCTTCGATATTGCTCCATCTAGCAAGCAGAGGGACAGGGCAGACACTGTTCTGCTGGAGCAGACAGTATAGCACAGCCCAGGATTGCAAAGCATCCTGGGATGCTGGGGAAGTGTGAGTTAACGTGAATTGGGAGGGGATCTGGAACAGAAGTTCTATAAGCCAATTTAACTTAAATCAGTTAAGTATATGTGACTACATCCAACCAGGTTTATCTTAAACTGGTTTTGGCCACTTTGAAAGCGGTTTATGTGCACTAAGCTTCTGCTCTGTTACAGGTTTAAACCAGTTTCTGATCACTTAAATTGGTCTTTGTGTAACTTCTGTCCTTAGAAGGTGCTGATTTCCTACGATTTCAATTTATTGATGTGGGAGTTCAGTGTCTCTGAAAGTTACAGTATTGCCAGCTCCAAACATTTAAAAGTCTTAAAAGTTGATCAAAACCCATAAAATTGAAAGAAAAAAATTGAAACTCAAGAGTCTATTTCCTTTCTGCTATTTGACCCCTGAAATTTCATGTTTTCTAGCTAGTCTCCTCTATTATGTTATATTTTGTTTTGTTTTTAAGGAAAGCTAAAATGTGTACATTCATCTTATTCTAGGAGCAGTAACTATCAGGAATATACCAGTTGGCATGAGACCCTTGTTGCCATCAAGAATGAATTTAGGACCTTTTAATTGAGCACCTTACTATGGATTGTAGTACTGTGCCTTAAGCACTACATGTGAAAACATTAAACTAAATCTTTATACTGGTATTTAGAAAGTGAAAAGGCAAGAGAGAAGGTAAAAATGAAAAAAAAATAGTGAATGAAAAAACCACTGTTTGGACAGCCAAATAATGATAATTTGTGAAATAGGAATGGTAACTCAACATGAAAGACACAAGAGACTTTCAGTATTACTGGTAATTTGTGTTGCAGCCGATTTTGGATAATAAAACATTAGAAAGCCTAACTAAAATAAAAATCGAATACATAACTTCGTTTTAAAACAGTTGTGAAAGTCTCTTGCCTTCCAAAATTTTCTTTGCTGCCCTTCCTATGTCTAAAACTACATCAACATGGGTTGGGAAGGACTGGTAAACAGCAATTCTTGGCAAGACAGACATCAGTTTTATTCACAATTACAAAGATAAATGAAACAGTGGAAAGTGTCTTTATGTCTATCTTCTATCGTTCAACAGTTATTTACGTATGATATAGGTACTCAATGCCATTTTGTTTTAATATATTTATCTATCTACATACGTGGGTACAAATATACTATTTTTCATTTGATCTGGAAACTGAAATTCCAACATTAGGCTTGAAAACAGACCAGCATTTTTTTTCCTCATGTTGTATGAACACAGAGAGTAGGCCCTGATCCTTCAAAGATTTACAGGTGCCTTTATTGTAAGCACTGTGGGTAACAACAATGAAGGCTAAGATTCATGCATGAGTGGACCCAGTGGGTGCGTCTATATGAGACACTCCAGTGCAGTAGCAATGAGCTATTGTGCTGTAGCTCATTGCTACCATGCAGTAGCATTGTCAGGCACTAACCGTGCAGTGATGGTACTGCACAGTAGCATTGGGCAAAAACCCTGCGGCAACTGTACTGTGCAGTAACACCAGGTACTGCAGTTATTTAATGCTTACACAAGTACTTTAGTACTTATGAAAGTACAAAATGACTGCACAGTAACAACTGCGCAGTCTGCCACA